TGCCCCCTAAGAAGCCAGCGTTGGCAATGGCGAAAGGCACAGCCATGACTGCTGAAGGTGCAGCAAATGTGAAAAGCAGAATTCCTGCTTGCCTCCAGGTGGGTTTAGGGTTTGGTGCTTAGGGTTTAGGGTCTGGAGTTTTTGGTAAAGAGCTCAGAGTTTAGGATCTATCCCAAGCGGTTTAAGCTTTATCCCTGCTTGCATCCCTGCTTGCCTCCAGTTCATTTTGGCTCCGTGCACTTCCACTTCCTCCTTGTCATAGTCATTCGGGCTGTCCATGGCGCAAGCTGCAGAAGAGGGGGGCAATATCGGCGGTTGCGTCTGAGCTCGAGCGAACGGACAGATGATTTCCAAGGATTGGATTTTGGTGGATGTACTACCGTACGATTGCATAATCATGCAGAGACCAAAAGGGGAATCTTATTGCTCAGCCCTAAACCCTAAACCCCTAAACCCTAATAACCCTAAACCCCTAAACCCCTAAATCCCAAATAACCCCAAACCCTAAACCCTAAAAAAAAAAAAAAACTCAACACATCCAGACCTCGATGGCACAAGCGTGCGCCTCGAAAGCCCCGGTCCCTCTGGGCCACCCGGCCGCATCTCACCAGAGCCACGGGCCTGCAAAAAGGTTGGGGTGTAAAGTTTAGGGTTTAGGGCTTTTAGGGTTTAGGGTGTAAAGTTTAGGGTTTAGGGTTTAGGGTGTAAAGTTTAGGGTTAAGGGTTTAGGGTTTCGGGTGTAGGGTGTAAAGCTTAGGGTTTGGGGTTTAGGGCTTAGGGTGTAAAGTGTAAAGTTTAGGGTGCTGAGTGGGGGCCCCTGTCAGGATAACAAAAGAGGTGTGGATGCTGGCTGCAGGGTTTCAGACCTCGCCTTGACGGCTTAGGCTCTTGGCTTTACGGACAAACACCCCCAGCAGCAGCAGCAGCAGCAGCAGCATTTGTGGTCGCTGGTCGTCGTTGGCCGTCGTCGTCGCAGCAGCATCAGTGCATAGACTTTGGAGTGCGAGACTCGATGGATCGCTCTTGAGTCAGTGCGGTTCCCCGCTGCCGGAACCTTAGGGCTCAAACCCCTGCCTTCAAGCCAATATCAATACCACAAGAAGTAATCTCTGGGACAAACCTGAAGATCATTATGAACACGAGACGCGTAAAACAAGAGAAAAGTCGTGATAGTAGATCATGGAGACGAGACACCTAAAACAAGAAATTGATAACAACTAAGCAGAACAACAACATCCCGAAGAAATCACGCTACAGATGAGTATGCTGATAACTTGGGAGGTCGGCAAGCAGCAGAAAACGCAATATAAGAGCAATGGCAGCTAAAACAGTTTGAATCCGAACAACAGAAATATAGCATACTATAAATATAACAAGGAACCCCAACAATGCTATTGGTAGTTATTTTAGGCCCCTATATTAACTACAACCTTCCATTTCAGCAAGACAACATACTGAATGACAACTGTAACACGTGTTGTGACACGCACAGCCATACCAAGACTAACATCAACAGCAACACTGCTTTTAACGCTGGAAAGGCCCTATCAAGCTATGATCGAAACACGAGAAAACGTGATGATTAAAACCTTATTGCATATAAGTCCCTGAAAGGTGTATAAGAAGCACCTACACCCACAACAAGAGCAACTCAAGCAAGGTTTGGCCTGCAAGCCCTTCTGCAGCAGCCGCACCTCCTGGATATGCGCCTTCGGGACATCTTTTGTAGACGTACGAATACATAAGTAGTAGAAACAAATATATATATATATATATACAAATATATATATATATATATATGTAAATATATGTGCGCATGTGTATGCGTTTGTGTGTATACATACAGATATACTACACATACATACACGCCTGCTGACACGTTTTCGGCAGTCGAGCCCTTTAGGATTTAGGGGTTTAGGGTGAATTGGTAGTAGGGGGTTGGGTCCAGGACTTGGTTTTGGAGCATCTAAACCCTGAGCCCGAAGCATAAGCCTTACACGCAAAACCCAAGCCTCCACCCGGTCCTGCGCTCCGTTTGCTACTACTGTTGATTGATGCTATAAAACCCTGCAATACCTTAAGGACCCTAAACTATGGGAATTCTGGTCTGGTCCTGATTATGGGTAATGCAGGATTTAAATCATCAACCGTACTTGCGAGATGGCGGGAATCCCCCGGCACCCGATGAATTTGGAGGCTCGGCCTTCATCTTGAACAGGTGCTTTTTATGGGCGTTCAGAGGGGTCGGGATGTAAGGTTTGGGGGTTTAGGGCTTCAGAATTTGAGGCCTCGATACTTAGGCCCCCGAAACCCCTAAACCCCTGCACCCTAAACCCCTAAACCTTAAACCCCTAAGCACCTAAACCCCTAAACCCCTAAACCCCTGAACCCTAAACCCCTAAACCCCTAAACCCCTAAACCCCTAAACCCCTAAACCCTAAGGGCCTTTAGGGTTCAGGGTTTAGGGGCTTAGGGGGTTTTAAGGGTTTTTGGTGTTTTTTAGGGATTCTTAGGGGTTCAGGGTTTTTTTAGGGGGGTTGGGGTTTAGGTCTGGGCCAAGGCTTTAGGGCAAGATGGCCTTCCGCATCTCGGTCATCATCTGCATGGCCTCCTGGGAAACGGCTTGGGGCTTTTCGGGCGTTTCTGCTTGTGGGCCCTTTCCAGCCGCTCAGGTCGGCGTTTAGGAAGGTTTTGGGTTTTGGGTTTTAGGGGTTTTGGGTTTTGGG